AAATCACATAGGGAAACTACTGTAGTGCCTCTTGATCTATAGGCTTGTGAACTAAGAGATAAGTTTTCTGCTCCCCATACACCCAAAATAAAATGATGAAGCACACAGAACATAACCTTTTAAATATTCCTGTTTTATAAGCGGGGAAAACAGGAGGTAAAAGGAATCAATGGTCCATAGCAATTATGAAATATACCTGGACAAATACTAGAAATTCCTTGACTGCAACTCAGTTCTACCTTTGCCTGAAAATTATTATTTCTAACATTTGGCTGTGTTCTCTGGGTCATCCTTTTTTCATGATTAGCACATGCTTGCAGTTAAGTAAATTTCCAGCCTGATTCCTAATTAGAGTTTGGGAGGTCAAAGGCCCCTTTCAATTAATACTGTCTCTGCAGTCTAAGATGGCAGTGGTTCTGTGAGGTAATTCAAAAACAATGTAGGTCTCCACTGGATCTTACTGGAGTTCATTCCATTAGACAAAAGCCATACCCACAAATGCTCTCTAGGATAAATCCTCTGTACTTTGGCTTTATGCTGAGAAAGCTAAAAGATTGCCCTTAAGCTTCTTGAAGCCCTCCTGTTCTTAGAAGCCAAGCCACATATTGAAATGACAATCTTAATATTAATTAGTATTACTACTGAGAAGACAACCTCTAAGTTAACCCCTAAATTCTTTATAGGGCCTCTGTCTGATAGTACTGTGAAGCATGACCTCTGATTGTTCTGAGGTAACTTTGCAGTCAATCCTTGACTGCAAGGTTAGATCATACTTTTTTCTGAGAATGCTCTGAGTTTTATCTTTGTTCAGAAACACTTCTTAGTATTAGCATCGTTTGCCATCTGGAGGGACTGTGAATCTTCAAGAAAACTAGTAAATACTGGCTGTTTTATTGAACAATCCTTTCTTTAGTGTATTTCTCTTCTCTCACATTTGACAATAAGCAGCACAAAAAGAACCTAGGCGGTAATTTTAACACTTTGGCAGACCTCCAATTTCATTAAATACTATTTTTAACCTTTCAGTTTACTGCAGGCAACATGTTGCTAACCTTACTCTGCCACTGTATAACAAAGACCAGTTTCTACCAGTTTCCAGTAAGAATTTCCTCAGTTTCCTTTAAGTTGTCACTGACAGCTGTCTCAAAATCTAGCAATCGATTAACAGTTTAAGGCCCTTTAAACTTTCACTGACACTCTTCAAGTTCTGACAACTTCTATTCACTGGCAGCTCCATGTTTTCATATCAGCACCTATTTACAGGTACCAAGATCAGTATTAGTTATCTACTGCTGCATAGTAAATTACCCCAAAATTTACCAGCTTAACACAGCAAACATTATCTCACAATGTTTCTGAGGGTCAAGAATCTGGGTGCAACTCAGCTGGGTTGACTTGGTGTAGAGTTTCTCATGAGGTTGCTGTCAAGGTACAGCTGGGGTTTCAATCACCTGAAAGCTAAACTAGAACTAAAGGATCCACTTCCAAGGTCACTCACATGGTTGTTGCAGGCCTTCGTTCCTCTCTATTGGCCAGAGATCTCAGTTCCTCACCATGAGGGCCTCTCCATAGGCTGCCTGAGTGTCCTCGCCAAATGCAGGTGAATTCCCCGAGTGAGAAATGAGAAAGAGAGACAGCTAGAGTGCGTGTGCACCCAAGATGTAAGCCGCAGTGTTTTTTATAACCTAATCTTGAAAGTGATGTACCATGAGTACTGAGTATGCCATTGGCCACACAGACCAACCTCAGTACAACATGGAAGAGAGTGCCCAAGAACATGGTTATGAGGAGTTGGGTATCACTGGGGAACATAGTGGAGAACATTATCTTAACTTACATGCTAACATTATTATGTAGTTTAATTTTATTCACATTTTCAACTCCATAAAAGTTATTATTAATGTTTTCAACAGTCCATCTTAAGATTTACTCACAGCATTTACATTTTGTCTACATTTTTTCCTGCATCTCCAAGCTTTCATCTGGAATATTTTCCATCCATTCTTAAGATTATTTTATATTGCCTTCAGTACAAATCTGCTGGTAACAAATTCAATTTGTTTTTATTTGAAAATGGCTTTTTTCACCTTCCTTCCTGAAGGATTATTTTCTTAGTCACAAAATCCGATATTGGTAGTTATTTTCTTTTAACTAGTAGTTGATAGTTTCTTTTCTAGTAGTTGGTATTTTTAAACTAGTAGTTGGTAGTTTATTTTCTTTTAACTAGTAGTAATTGGTAGTTATTTTCTTTTAACAAAGACAGTTCATTGCCTTTTTTTTTTTTTGAGACGGAGTTTTGCTCTTGTTACCCAGGCTGGAGTGCAATGGCACGATCTCGGTTCACCGCTACCACCGCCTCCTGGGTTCAAGCAATTCTCCTGCCTCAGCCTCTTGAGTAGCTGGGACTACAGGTGTGTGCCACCATGCCCAGCTACTTTTTTTGTATTTTTAGTAGAGACGGGGTTTCACCATGTTGACCAGAATGGTCTCGATCTCTTGACCTCGTGATCCACCTGCCTCGGCCTCCCAAAGTGCTGGGATTATAGGCGTGAGCCACCGTGCCCGGCCTGTTCATTGCTTTTTGGCTTCCATGGTTTCTCTTGAGAAATCATTACTTTGCCTTATCCTTATTTTGAAGATTCTATATCTTTTCCTCTGGCTATTGTTAGAGATATCTTTTTACCTTTGCTTTTCAACATTTCTATTGGGTACAGTTTGCATTATTTCAGTCTGAGATTCACCGCATTTCTTTAGCATTCATAATCTAAAGCAGGACACCTTTCTCAGCTTGGGAAAATTCTCAGCTATTACCTCCTTAAGTAGTAGTTCAACCCATTTCTTCTTTCCTCTCCAAGATTCCAACTGTATGTATGCATGTTAAACTTATTTACTGCATTCCCTTTATGCCTTAGCTTTTTTTCTGTATTTCCCATTATTTTGTCTAAGCTTTAGACTCTATATTTTCTACTGACAAATCATTTAGTTAAAAACTTCTCTCTTCAGTTCTGTTTGGTCTAATATTATTCCCAAATATTAAATCCATAAAATTTTCATAGTATTAGTTTTAGAATTCTATCTGCTTCTTAATAGTTTTACCTTACTTCTCAACTGTCTTTCTTTTTTTCTTTAGCATAATAAGCTCAGTTTTCTAAAATCTAATAATTCAATTACCTGGATTTCTTATGGGTCTATTTTTATTATCTACTGTTTCTCTTGGATTTTAATTCCATTCTATTTTCTACTTATATCCCTGCTTTCTTTTCATCCATTCTTTGAGTGTTGATGCTATAAATGAAGCATTTTAGAGATCTTTGAGGTACAGAAAGATGTTTAACTACATTATAGCTAGGGGAACCACCAATTCTAGATTCTTTAATGCAATCAGAGACGGGTAACATTCAAAGTTGGGCTTCAGACACTATAAGCTGCTTTGAGTTCAGTCATGTGGGGCACAGTGAAAATGCAAATGAAATTCCCAAATTTAAGTGTGAGTAACTAAATTTTACTGCAGATTTAATGTTGTAGGAAATTACATCTGTAAGAACTCTGGCAATGTAATGTAGCACATGAACATTTGAAAACTATTTTACAGGTTGGATAAATTTCATTCACTTTATTAAAAGTAAGCATGTGGTCTACTAAGAGATTTGTCAAATGTTTTTTTCGAGTTGTGTAAAATTTTTTATTGTATTTTACTTTGTTATTAGACATTGAGGTTCCAAGAACTCTCATGAGGGCTATTTCAAAGAGAAACGGCAATGAAGTTGGCAGTTGCTCTGTTTACCATACTGAAGACTGGTAGTGTATAATGTGCTACATTTACAAGAAAAAAAAAGTATATCATTAAGACTAGAGGAATACAGTTTAATACATTTAAAGACATTTTGAACACAAATTTTCCTTTATCCTAGGAATGAAATAATGCTAGATAGTATCATCAAAATACTCAATTCTATAGCAACTATAGATAAAGCAACTAAATCATTCTATAGCACTATATAGAACTAAATCATTTTATAGAACTAGCATTCCTACAAGAGATTAATTCTAATTTTGAAATGGCTGAGTGGAACTAATGAACAAAGCTAAGCAAAAACGAATAAAAGGTACATTCAAGACCTATTCATGAAATAAGATCCAAGGTTAGCTTCTAATATACCTAAAACCATAGATACACAAATACAAATTGTTAATATGGCAATTCTGTAGCATCAACTTCAAATAAATTCAAATACAGTTTGGTCTATTAGAGGCTTTTTTTGCTCTTATGTTACCTAATCCAACTTTTTAATTGTTTCTACGGGGGTGGGGACCCAAACCAGATAAAAAATCATGCCGAGAGACTTTGGTACCTTCTCAGCCTCCCACCTCTCCCACAATAAATGATCAAATACATGTGTAAAGTTGGCTGATTTAACTTGAACATTTGGTATTCTACTATAGCAACACCCTAACTTATCACTTTTTAGTTCCCTAAGATAAAGAAAAATTAATTATTCTTAATACTTCTAGGCTATAATTTTAAAATGGTAAAGGATATGAAAAAAAATCTACATTTTCAAGTTTAAAAAATTTTTATGTTACAAAAATCATTTCTTCAACTTTCAGTTTCTTTATTGTTTTCTAATAGTTTTATCAAAACAAACAGTGGAGCACAGAAAACAGGGTCAGGTTGCCTAAGTACGTATCCTGACATGACCTTCTAAAAGAAATTAATCCTAACTTTTTATCCTCATTTTCTGATCTGTAAAATGGGGATAATCCTACTTATCTTATAGAGTTTTCTATATATATAGAGAGAATTAATCAATAACATACATAGAATAGTGGCTAGCATAAGTAAACCCTCTTAACATGTTACCTGCTATTATTACAACACCATGTAGTATTTTGCTAGACTTTTTCTCTAAGATAAGTGACAAAACTTCACAATTCATTGAATTAATAAAATATGAACTAATCAAGAAAAATATTTATAGTCAGTTATTATTAAAATGTACCTTTCGTGCTATTGGCTCTTGACCTTCCATCAATGTATACCAGCTGACAAGTTTGTTCCAGCCTTCAGTTGGCAACAGTATGTAATCCAATTCATCAATAAGATGTTCCTTAAGTGACTGGGCATCACCATCTGCAAAAGTAAAGTTAACTCAATACATAAAAAGAAACAATAGTACCTAACTCTAAATACTTTGGTTATACACATTATGAATTAAACTCATGAAGGCTAATTTAAGAATTTAAAACAAGTTTTAAGCTCTAAAGTAATTCAGATACCTTATATAAGGGGTGTCTAATCTTTTGTCTTCCCTAGGCCATACTGGAAGAACTGTCTTGGGCCACATATAAAATACATAAACACTAACAGTAGCTGATGAACTTAAACAAAAAAATCATAAAAAAAAAAAACAACTCATAATATTTTAGCAAAGTTTACAAACTGGTGTTTGTCTGCATTCAAAGCCATCCTGGGCTGCATGCAGCCCATGGGCTGCGGGCTGGACAAGCTTGCCTTACGGATTTCAAAGCCAACTATTCCTTTAAAACTTTTAGTTTGTACCATAAATCAAAAAGCAATATTTAAAAACATAATTCTTTTATTAGGTTCTTAAAAAAATACTATGGAGTAATTGTTAGTCAAGAGACTTGGCAAAAGAGTATTTCCCAAATATTGTGAGTAGCAGAGATCCCTCACAGGGTAGCAATGGTCATTCTAGCATCAGCCTTTGCAGGAAATTCAGAAGCAAATCAACAACCTTTTACAATGACACCAAGACACATGGGCTAGGAACTGTGATGAAAATCAAAAATGGACATCTTGTGAACCATTTCATTATTCCAGCAAGTCCATGATCCGGATTCCTCCAAGATCTAAAATGGAGGTGATTCTTCAAATGTGGTTCTAATTCACAATCCACTTTCCAATTTCTAGTTACACTAAAGGAATTTAGTATAAGACAGGCCAGAGATCTAGAAGAAATTTCTGGAACCATACCTATATCACAGTCCTAACTTGAGACTTGTTATCTATCCTTCTGAATTTTTAAAATGCAGAAAGAGAAATGGATCTAGCTCACTGAGTTATATCCAACTTTACAGAGTTTTTTCTTGTTCTGAGTTAGTTTTAATTAACAGATACAGAAAGCAAAATTGTTCCTGGTAGCATTTCAATAATGAGAACATGCTATTCCTAACAGGATATAACAATATAAATCAAGAAGCAGGAAAAAATCTGAGAGATTAAGAGAATATTACATATTCTATGTTTTGCAACTGTAGTTCACTTTGCATTTTCTAGAATTGTACATGAAAACAGTACCTGCTTTCTGTTACTACAGACAAATTGGCAATTTCTAGAGTCTTACATAAAAACAGTATGTCCTCTTTTTTGTTTGGCTTCATTCATGCCATGTAAATACTTTGAGATCTATCCATGTTTTTACATACCAATAGTTAATTTCTTTAACTGCTGAGTGGGATTTCATTATATGGACGTACACCTTATTTATCCATTCAGTTGTTGATGGGCATTTGCGTTGTTCACGATTTTTTCTATTACAAATGACTCTGTATGACCATTTGTATACAACTGATCATATAGATAAAATGCTTTCATTTATTTTGGGTAAATACCTAGGATTGGAATGACTGGGTTCTATAATAAATGTATGCCTAACTTTTTAAGAAACTGCCAGACTGTTTGTTTTCTGAAGTGATTTTACTATATGACATTGACAGAAACAGTGTATGATAGTTCTACTTCCTCTACATTCTTGCCAACACTTGGTATGGGTCAGTGTTCTCACTGTGGTTTTAATCTTCATTTCTCTAATATGAATTATGTTAAGCATCTCTGCACGTGCTTTTTGAAACCTACATCTTCTTTGGTGAAGTATGTGTTCAAACCTTTTGCCTACTTTTTCCATTGGGCTTTATGTTTTCTTCAAAGTAAGTTTTATAAACTATACATTCTATATACAAGCCTTTTACCAGCTACATGACTGTAAACATTTTCTCTCACACTGTGGCTTCTCTTTTCTTTCTCTTAAGAGTGTCATTTAAAGAAGCTTTTATTACTGACGAGACACAATTTATCACATTTTTTCTTTTATCAACCTTGCTTTTGAATCATATCCAAGAAAATTTTGGCTAATACAACATCACAAAGATTTTTTTCCAAAAAGTTTTAGTTTTTACATTTAGGTCTATAATCCATTTTGGATTAATATTGTATAAAGTGCCATGTATGGATCAAAGTTCAGTTTTTTTGCAAACAGATATCCAAATGCTCAAGCAGCATTTGTTTACAAAGCTATCTTTTGCCAGTGAATTCCTCTTATACATTTTTCTAAACTTAAATGACTATATATGTGTAGATCTATTTCTGCATTCACTAATCTGATCAACTGATGTATCTGTCTTTACATCAATATCCAACTGTATTTATTATTACAGCTTTAAAATAAGGATTGAAATAAAATAGTGTTAAGTTCTATGATTTTATTTTAAAATTCAAAGTTATTTCGGCCATTCTGCATTTAAATTTCCACAGGAATTTTTGAATCAGCTTGTCCATTTCTATTAAAAAGCCTACAAGACAACTCAATATCCACATGCCAAAAGATGAAGTTAGAATATTACCTTACACCATATACAAAATTAACTTAAAATAGACCAATGGTTTCAATGTAATAGCCCAAACTATAAAACTCTTAGAAGAAAATGTAAGTATAAATCTGTGCAACCCTGGTTTCAGCAATGCTTTCTGACACCAAAAGCACAATAAACAAAGAAAAAAAAATGATAAATCAAACTTAAAATGAAAAACTTTTGTGCTTTGAAGGTCACCACCAAGAAAATAAGAAGTCCACAGAATAAGAGAAAATTTTTGCCATTCACACTCTGATAAGGATCTAGTATTCTAAATAAATAACAAACTGAAAATACAACAATAAAAAGAGAAACAACTCCACTTAAAAATGGGCATAGGATCTAAATAGATATTTCACCAAAGAAGATATATAACAAGGACAAAAAAAGATACTTATCATGAATCACTAGAGAAATGCAAGTCAAAAATCACAATGAGATACACCACTTCACACCCACGAGGGCGGCTATAATAAAAAGGACAGACAATAACAAGTGTTGGCTATAATGTGGAGCAGTGAATCCTCATACACTGCCAGCAACAACGTAAAATGATGCAAGAACTTTGGAAAAACAATCTTATAGTTCCTAAAATAGTTAAACGATGAAGTCTAAAAAGACCCAACAAGTTCATGTCTAGGTATCTACCCATGAGAAAGGAAAATACACATCTACCCAGAAACTTGTATGTGAATCTTCTTAGCAACAATATTCGTCATAGCCAAAAAGAGAAAACAACTCAAATGTCTATCAACCGATGAGTGCACAGAGTAAATGTGCTATCTGTTCAGTACAAATCATTCATCCATAAAAAGGAATCAAGTACTGATTCATGCAACAACATGAATGAAACATGAAAAAAGAAAAAGTAAAAGAAGATAAATATAGAAGAACACATATTGGGTTGGGCTCAGTGGCTCACAACTGTAGTCCCAGTACTTTGGAAGGCCAAAGTGGGTGGATCATCTGAGGTCAGGAATTCGAGGCCAGCCTGGCCAACATGGTGAAACCTCATCTCTACTAAAAATACAAAAATTAGCCAGTTCAGACACTTGTTTTCTGCCAGCTTTCCTAGATCTTTCTGTGGAATATTCTCCCAGCACCCCATCCCATCCTCATCCACTCCTTCTTTCTCTACTTGCTCTTTTTATTTTTGTTTTGTTTTGTTTTGAGACAGAGTCTCACTCTGTCACCCAGGCTGGAGTGCAGTGGAATGATCTCGGCTCACTGCAACCTCCGCCTCCCAGATTCAAGCGATTCTTCCAAGAAAAAAAAAAAAAAATTAGCCAGTTGTGGTGGCACATGCCTGTAAACCCAGCTACTTGGGAGACTGAGGTAGGAAACTTGCTTGAACCTGGCATGTGGAAGCTGCAGTGAGCTGGGATTGTGCCACTGCACTCCAGCCTGGGCGACAGAACGAGGCTCCATCTTATAAAAAAAAAAAAAAAAAAAGGAACACACACTGTATGATTCCATTTATATGAAATGTCTAGAATAAGCAAATTCATACAGACAAAGGAGATTAGTAGTTGTCTAGGGCGGGGGTGGCGGCAGAGAAAGGATAGGGTGTGATTCCTAATGGGTAAAAAGAAATGTTTTATAAAATTCAATTAGCTCAAGTTGATTAACAGTGTTGTTCAATTCTTTGGGCTTCGTGAATGTAGATATCCAATTCCCTTCCCAGTTTTAGGAACTGTCAGCCATTATTGCATTATTTCTTTTTTTGTTTTTAAGATAGGGTCTTATTCTGTCATTCATGCTGGAGTAGAGTGGTGCGATCTCAGCTCACTGCAACCTTCGCCTTCTGGGCTGAAGCAATCTTCCCACCTCAGCCTCCCCTGCAGCTGGGACTACAGGCACATGCCACCACACACAGATTATTATTATTACTATTATTTTGGAGACAAAGTCTTGCTCTGTCACCAGGCTGGAGTACAGTGGAATGATCTTTGCTCACTGCAACCTCTGTCTCCTAGGTTCAAATGATTCTCCTGCCTGAGCTTCCCAAGTAGCTGAGACTACAGGCATGCGCCACCATGCCCAGCTAATTTTTTATATTTTTAGGGGAGACGGGGTTTTACCATGTTAGCCAGGATGGTCTTGATCTCTTGACCTCATGATTCACCAGCCTCAATCTCCCAAAGTGTTGGGATTACAGGCATGAGCCACCGCGCCTGGCCGGATTTTTAAAAAAATGTCTTGTAGAGACAGGGTTTTGCATGTTGCCCAGGCTGGTCTCAAACTCCTGTGTTCAAGTAATCCACCCACCTTGGCCCCCCACAGTGGTGGGATTATAGGTGTGAGCCACTATTCCTGGCCCGAGCCATTATGTCTTTATGTATGCTTTCTGCCCTCTCACTTTCCTCCTTTTGGAAATCTTACATGCACAAATTGGTTCACTTGATTGTGTCCCATAAGTTACTTAGACTTCCTTTACTTTTCAATATTTTTATTCTTATTATTGGATAATTTCAACTGATCAGTCTTCAAGTTTGCCAATTCATCTATTTGATCAAGTTTGTTGCTGAAGACCTCTAGTGAATTTTTCAGTTATTGTATTCTAAAATTTGTTTGGTTCTTCATAATTTTTAGCTCCTGGTTGATATTTTCATTTTTCTGGTTTTGTTAAGTTGTCTATGTTTTCTTGCAACCTAGTGAGCTTTATAAGACAATTATTTTAAATTCTCTGTCAGGCAATTCGTCTCCATTTCTTTAGAATCAGTTTCTGGAGATTTTATTTCTTTCTGTCATGTTTCTCTGATTTTTTGAGTTCTTGTAGCTTTGCATGGTGTTCCTGCAACTGAAGAAACAGCCACCTCTCCAGTCTTTATAAACTGGCTTTGAAAGGCAAATAGCTTTACTTCCACCCATCAGCCTGGCTGGAGATTCTAAGAACATCTCAAACTTTTTCTGTGGATATGTCTTTTCTGTACTTGTGCATGCAGATTTCTAATTAGAAGGCTTTATTGATTTTTTTTCCCCGAAGCCCATAATCTCTTCCTCCTTCTGGTATCTTACTACATCATACCACAGACCAGAACGTTAAGAGGCCCATCTCACTCGTCTCCCTCTTCCTTGTAAAGAAACCTTGAGTTCTCTGCCTTCTCAAATCTTGTAGAGCTGTGCTGAGTGCAGGAAGCCTCTTGCCCCTTTTCCTTTGTTCCTATCTGCTCCCACCAAACTATGCCAGTTCCATTAGCAAACAGAGTAAGGTAAGATAGAAATCAGCCCTTCAAGCAGTACCCTGAAAGACTGGAACATTGGAGGTATACTCCACTCCTTTTCCCCTTTCCTGGGGGAAAAGTCTCAGGTTCTATGCCTTCTCCCAATATTACAGGACTGTGGCAGTTGCACCAAGCCGCCTATTCATTTTCTTTTGTTCTTAACTTCCCCCAGTTATTTGAACTATGTCAGCTTTCTGGTACCATAAGGCAAGACAGAAACTGGCCTCTCAGGCAGCACACTGAAAGGCATGAATAGTGTAGAATGCCCCCACTCCTCTCCTTCCTTCCTGGGAGAGAAGCCTCAGATTCTTAGCCTTCTCTCAATCTCTCTGAGCTTTCCAGCTGCAGCAACCACCTACCCTTTTCCTTTGTTAACTGACCCCAGGTATCAGATATATGCTGGCTGCATCCGCACTCCGTGTAAGGTGATAATTTTTTTTTTTTTTAAACTGACCTGTTGGGTAACGCACTGAAGGGCTGGAATGTTAAGCACATGCTCTCTTTCTGTCCTGATCTGAGACAATCTCTCCTGAGACTAACCTAAGTTTGCGTGGAGAAGGGGATGATGTGGGCAAAATAAAATTATTCTTACCCATGTCAATGTTGTTGTTTTGTGCTCATTTGCAGCACTGCAAATTCTTAACAGGATCTTGGGTTTCTCATAAAGATATTCTGGTCCATTGTTAATTCAGTGTTTCTGTTGGGGGCTGGGAGCTGGGACTTTTTACTCTATCATCTTGCTGACATCACTCTTCTTCACATATTTTCAAGATAGACTATTAGGCAGGTATATATATATATATATATTTTTTTTTGAGACGGAGTTTCGCTCGTTACCCAGGCTGGAGTGCAATGGCGCGATCTCGGCTCACCGCAACCTCTGCCTCCGGGGTTCAGGCAGTTCTCCTGCCTCAGCCTCCTGAGTAGCTGGGATTACAGGCACGCGCCACCATGCCCAGCTAATTTTTTGTATCTTTAGTAGAGACGGGGTTTCACCATGTTGACCAGGATGGTCTCGATATCTTGACCTTGTGATCCACACACCTCGGCCTCCCAAAGTGCTGGGATTACAGGCTTGAGCCACCGCGCCCGGCCTAGGCAGGTATATATTTAAGCTTACTATATTCTCTTGATGAACTATCCCATCCCATTACATTATAAAGTAACCGTCTATCCCTCATAATGTTCTTTATTCTGAAACTTAATGTCTCTGCTTTTAAAAAAAATAGTGTTAGCATGTGTATTCGTTTTCCACTGTTGTAAAATAAATTACCATAGTGGCTTAAACATCACTGATTTATCAGTTCACAGTTCTGTGGGTCAGTAGTTCAGGAGGGCTCAAATGGATTTGTGCTTAGGGTTTTACAAGCTGAAGTCAAGATATCAGCCCTGCTGGGCTCTTATCTGAAGGTCTGAGGAAGAATCTGCTTACAAGCCCATTCAGGTTGTTGGCAGAATTCAGTTACTCATGGTTGTGAGTCTGAGGTTCCTGTTTCCTTGCTGGCTGTCAGCCTGAGGACTCCCTCTGTTCCTACAGGCTGCCTGCCTTCTTGCATCTCAATGATTCCTTCCAACTTCAAACCAGCAGTGATATGTTGACTCTCTTCCAGGCTTGAATCTCTGAATTATTTTGCCACTAGCCAGAGAAAATGCTCTGCTTCTAAAGGGTACATGTGATTATATTAAGTTCACCCAGATAGTCTCCTTTTGCCACGTAACATAATCATAGGGGTGATAGCTTCATGCTATTTACAAGTTTCACCAACACTCAAAGGGGAGAGTATTCTATAAGGGTGAGGATCACTGGGGGTTAGTCTTGCTTACCACAACCTGATGTTATCTTTTTCCATGTCTTAAATTTATCTGTATCTTTATGCTTAAAGTAAGTTTCTTATAGACAGTTGATAGCTGGGTCTTAACTTTTTAATCTAATCTCATGGTCACAATATTTAGTTGAGGTGTTTACATTTAATGTGATTATTCATAGAGCTGGGTTTCAATCTAGCAACTTTTAATTTTGTATTTGTCTCGTCCGTTCTTTATTAATTTTTTCCATGTCTTGTGGGGGGAGATTTGTTTTTAAGATTGACATTGTTTGTTATTATTGGTCATATTTTCCTGCTTCTTTACATGCCAGGTAATATTTGGTCGGATCCAAGACATACATTTTATGTTTTTGTATGCTGGATATTTTTGTATTCTTACAGATATTCAAGTTTTATTCCGAAATGGAGTTAAGTTACTTGGAAACAGTTTGATGCTTTCAGGTTAGTAGAGCAGGAAAATTAATTTCACCCTATTACATAAGCAAAACTGTTCTCAGTAGTCTACTTTGTAAATTATGTGGTTTTCCACTCTGGCTGTTGAGAATGCCAATGACTCCCAATCCTATATTAACCCCAATGATTGTTACTTCTTTTCAGTGGTACTTTGTCTGGCCTTGGGCAGTTTTCTCACATGCAAAGTGCAGATTAATAACCGAAGACTTAAGAGCAACCCTATGGAGGATCTAGGTCGCTCTCTCTCTCTCTCTGAGTTGCTCACTAACTTCTGGTACTTCCCAGGACTCTTGGTTTCCCTGGACTTCAAACTCCCGTTTTCTCAACTAAGAAAGACAGAGAGGGTCTGTACAGGTTTCATCATCCCATGCTGTGTCTTGGAAACTCTTCCAATGCAGTAAACTGAAAACAGTTGGAGGGCTTACCTATTTTGTTTCTCATCTCTCAGGGATCACTGTTTTCTGCTGCCTGATATCCAGTGTTTTGAGAACCACTGTTAGAAACGGAAGTTCTGGTACTTATGTTTTGTTCCCTTTAAGCATAATAAGAGGTATACAATACCTCTTATACAATAAGGACTGGCAAGTAGTGAGGGTTGTAGAAAGCTAATGTAAAAATTTAGGAATGTAAGGATATGTGATTGTTCCTCAAATTTTAAAAAATGCCATGTGTCCAATATGTGACATAGCATTTCTCAAAATAACCAGTCTTTAATAATTATTTAATAACAAATAATCAGTCTTATTTATTAATAATCATTAATGACTACTTAATAATGAAATATTTAAATGAAGAAATGACATTCTTCATTTAAGGGTTTAAACAATAAAGTCTTATTACATCATAAATGAAAAACAAAACTTGTCATTATACAGAATAATAAAATTTTTAATAACTAATTAGAATAATAAGTTCATTAGGTCAAATCTGTAATGCAAAGATATTTCTACTCTATCAACTTATTTACACTAACATTTCCCATATTCAACCCATTGACATTTATATAATGAAATTTAATATATTTACAACTTGACTGAAGGAAGAAAATACCGACCTTTGAGAAGTCCAGAGTTATCAATGGGTCCAGGATACACATTTTGATCTCCCATCTGGTATTTGTCCCAACTGTCAAAGCCAACATATTTTTTCCACTGTTTGAACCAGCGACTATCGACTAGGTACCTAGAAAATAAAAGAAATTGGTTAAGGAAAATACCTAAAAATATAGGAACAGTAGAAGAGTCATCTATTTTTGATATTTTCTTTTATATTAAAAGACGTATCTACTTCAAAAGATTACTGAAAATAACTGTATGCCACTTAGTATTAGAAAGACAATATTTGTATAAAGTGTTATTCCTAATGTTCTATAAATATATACTACTTGATGACAAATACTGACATAAAAATACAAATAAACATATTCAAGAAAATGCTTCTCAATTGAATAAAAATGCAAATAATCATAAGAATCTGTCAAAATAAATTTAAAAATGCAATGTGGTAAACAGAAAAAATGGTTCTTTTGCAAGAAACTTGCAAATAATTTTATGTAATTTATTGTGTGTTTTTGGAAGTAAAGGAAAGTTATCAAGGGTTGCAAGGTTAATTATAATAATCATAATCAAAGAGAGAGGTTCAAGATGGCTGACTAGAGACATCAGGTTCCAGTTCTCTTCAGAAAAAAGAACCAAAATTAAGACCGGGCGATGGCTCACTCCTGTAATTCCAGGGCTTTGGGAGGCTGAGATGGGTGGATCACTTGAGGTCAGGAGTTTGAAACCAGCCTGGCCAACGTGGTGAAAGCCTGTCTCTACTAAAAATAAAAATATTAGCCAGGCATGGTAGCAGGCATCTGTAATCCCAGCTACTCAAGAGTCTGAGGCGAGAGAATTGCCTGACCCCAGGAGGCAGAGGTTGCAGTGAGCCGAAATTGTGCCACTGCACTCCAGCCTGGGCGACAGAGTGAGACTTGGTCTCAAAAAAGAAAAAAGAACCAATATTACAAACACATAATCACAGCTCTAACAGAATATCAAAGAGAGAATGCCAGTACACAAAATCACAGGAAAAAATTCAGACACAGGATCCTTCATTCCTGTGGCAGACTGGTTGTATGCAATCTATGGGAGAGCTTCTCTGCTCTCACAAACCCAGACAATGGTAAGGGCAGGGATTTCTTGAGGGTGTTACACCAAACTGCAAGCTCATGCTGGGTTGCTCAACTTCTTACCACATCCCCAGACTTGAGTGCCTGTGGCAAGGCATCACTGTCAGGGCACATCTGTCAGGGGACTGTATCTTGCCCAGGGAACCTCATGCCTTTTGTGCTTCGACATCCTGGAAGCCCTTGCTGACACTCCCCAGCACCAATTCAGTGGGCAGCAGCCGCACAGTGCTAGTTAGACCCAGGGGTGCTGCAGGGTTCCCAATAATCTATCCCTCAAAGAGTACTACTTTTAAGGGAAGGCAAAGTACTGTGCACCAAAGGGACAGCCCCTGGGACAAAGGAAACTAAAGCATGCATTTTCTAGAGCCCAAGAGCTTGGGGCTATAAGTGAATGCCTGCTCCTGGCAGAGACAGAGAAGCAAACTCTGCCCAACACTGCAAGTGAGGATTAAGGTCCCGTACCACTGGCCAAGTGGTCTCTGTGCTTGAGCCCAGACACAGAGAAGGGGACTCCTCCTCTCCCTCCACCCACTGCTGCAGACACAGCCATTGCTGCTCCCATGGGAAACTGGCACAAGAAACCAGATGGCAGGCTACCTGGAGCTGTGAAGGGCAACTGCAGCTCTAATGGCAGTGGCCTCTGGGCCCAGGCTCATGAGAAAGGTGGGTTCTCTCCCACTCTGCACAGAGCGTCAGCAGTCCTGCCATGGAGAGCAGAGTCTGCATGGCAGCCATTTCCAGACAGCACAGGAGTAGTCTCAAAGCATGGGCAGGCATCTCCTGTAATTCTAGGTTACACTGCAGTTGGAAATAAACTGCAGTGTCTAATAGAACTGAACAACCTGAACACCAGAAGAGGAGTGTGACAAGGAAACATCACATTTCTGCCTGCCGAGGCCAGGGTGCTAAGAAAGCCTTCACCTTGCTCCCGTACCCACCCCCCCATCTCCCTTCAAGAGACCTCAGTATATTTTACCAGTGGACTGATGACTCCCCTCCCTCATGTCACCCTCGTCAGGGCTGATGCTTCTGCCAGTCATTAGGAGAACTGAGCTTTTCTTGGTAAACAAAGGTGAAGTGTAAACCTCATTGTTACCACTGAAACTGACTCATACCTGCAAATGCTACCTACTGGCCTGGAGGCTGAACTGCACAACCCAATACAAAATTTGCTAACATAAATGCACACAATTTGGGAACAAAATAAGCTTCTTGAGACCTCTGCTACCCTGGCTCTACAGGAGGATGTGAGTGTGCTCACATGCCAGGTATATGACTATCACACCTGACATCTGAGAAAGCCACCAAAGCTATCTAAAACCAAGAAGTTCATAGAGTCTTTGCCACTAAAAGAACTCAGAAGCAAAGCCAAATGACCCTATTCAATGTACATTATAGTCACATCCTGAAGAAAAAACAGCCTTGTCCAAACAAAAGTGAACTGAAACATCAGAAATGAATTTCTCCAGATGAGAAAGAACCAATGTCATAATTCTGGAAGTATGAAGAAACCGGTTGTTACAATACCCCCAGAGGATCACACCCTCTAGCAATAAATCCTAACCAAAATTACTGAAATCTTAAGAAATTCAAAATATTGAGTTTAACGAAGGTCGATGAGATTCAAGGAAAATCTGAAAACCAATACAAAGAAACAGAAAATCAATTCAGGATATAAATGATAAATTTACCAAAGAAATAAGATATTTAAAAAATATTTTGAAAATAAAAAATTCACTGAAGGATTTACAAAATACTGATGAAAGCTTCAACAATAAACTAGATCAAGGAGAAGAAACAATCTCAGAACATAAAGACAGGTCATTTGAAGAAACAAAAAAGAATTTTAAAGATGAGCAAAGCCTTTGAGAAGTTAAAAGATTACATTAAAATGTCTGGACCTAGGGATTGTAGGTATTCCTGAGAAAGAAAAGAAAGCAAAAAGTTTGGAAAACCAACTTCTCTAGTCCAGCAAGAGATCTAGACATCCAGAATAAGAGGCCCAATGAAACCTAGAAATAAACACTGCAAGAAAAACCTCACCATGACATAGAATCATTAGACTGTCTGAGGTCAACATGAAGGAATAAATCTTAGGATCAGCAAGAGAAAAAAGGTATCTAGTCACCTATAAAGGAAACTGTATCAGACTAACAGCAGACTTCCTGGCAGATGACTTACAAGTCAGAAGAGGCTGGGATTCTATTTTCAAAATAGGCTTAAAGTAAAAAAAAAAAACCTGGCAACCTGAAAATTTGTACCCTGCTAGAAAAAGCTTCAGGAATAAGAGAGATACGAAGTTTTTCCTAGAAAACAATCATTGAGGGAATCTGTCACCACTAGACTGGCTCTACAAAAATGATCAAGGGAGGTATAAACATAGAAATGAAGGGTCAATACTTGTCATCATAAAAATGTAACAAAGTAAACAATTCACAGGTCTTATAAAATAATTACACCAATGAAACTACAAAGCAATGCGATAACAATGAACATTACTACAGAAATAAAACCGCACATATTAATATTTACTGTAAACATAAATGGGTTACATGCTCCACTTAAAAGATATAGATTGGCAGGATGAATTTAGAAAACAATATCCAACTATATGCTGCTTACAATAAACTCACCTTAGTGGTAAAGAAACTTAGAGACTGAAGAAAGGGGTGTAAAAAGATAATCCATGCAAACAGAAACAAAAAACAAGTAGGAGTAGCTATACTTAGATAAAGCTGACTTTGAACCAAAAACAGTAAAAAAAAAAAAAAAGTCATGATATAATGATAAAGAGATCAATTCAATAGAAAGATACAACAATCCTAAATATATATGCATCCAACAGCAGAGGACCCAAACCCAAATTCATAAAACAAGCATTACTAGACCTAAGAAAAGATATAAACAGCAACACAGTAATAGTGGGTGACTTTAATATTCCACTGACAGCACCAGACAGATTATCAGGACACAAAACCAACAAAGAAACATCAGAATTAAATTGGATTCTAAACTAAATGTTTTTGGCAGACATTTGAAGAATGTTCTACCCTAGCAGAATATACATTCTTTTCATCAGGCATGAAATATTCTCTAAAATAAAATATAGTATGCCACAAAAACAAGTCTCAATTTTTTTTAAAAAAATTGAAATTATATCAAGTATCTTCTTAAACCACAGTGAAATAAAGTCAAAATCAATCCTGAGGGGGAATTATTGAAGCTATACAAATACATGGAAGTTCAATAACATGTTCCTGAACAATCTTTGGGGCAACAATACAATTAAGATGGAACATTAAAAAAATGTTTAAATGAATGAAAAAAGAAGAAACAACATACCAAACCTCTGGGATTCAGCAAAAGCAGTGCTAAGAGGAAAGTTTATAGTGTTATCTATATTAAAAAAAATATAACAAATTAATCACCTAAGGTCACACCCCATGAAACAGAAAAACAAAAACCAAATCCAAATCCAAAGCTGACAGAAGAGAAGACATTAAGATCAGAGGAAAAGTAAGAGACACTGAGACCAAAAATATAATACCAAAAATAAAAGATCAATGAAGTGAAAAGCTAGTTATTTGAAAAGAGAAACAAAACTGACAGACTGCTAGCTAGACTAACCAAGAAGAGAGAAGATTCAAATAAACACAATCAGAAATGAAAAAGAAGATACTATTATTGACACTGCAGAAATACAACGGTTATCGGAGATTACTATGAGCATCTCTACATGCACAAACTAGAAAACCTAGAGGAAGTGGGTAAACTCCTGGAAACATACAACCTCCCAAGATTGTACTGAACCAGAAAGAACTGGAAACCCTGAACAGACCAATAATGAGTACTAAGATTAAATCAGTAAGATGAAAATCTCTCAATAACAGCAACAACAACAACAACAGCAACAACAAAAAGCTCAGGACAGGACAGATTCAGAGCTGAACACTACCACACATACAAAAAAGAACTTGTACCAATCCCACTGAAACTGTTCCAAAATAGTGGA